TAGGGATTATGCTGCGAAGGGCTGACATCCTGTGTTATGTACACGTAGTACAATGACATAAAACGAGTTTGAGGGTTTAGCTCAAGAAGCTTCTCAAAGTTTGCAATCACCAGTGGGTTCATAATTTCACAACGGGTGAGGAGCCTGAGGGATAATTCCGAAAACCGATCAGAGAGTGGCAACATGCCCGCTAACACTTCGAGACTCATCGTATGAGTCGAGTGCATGCATCCTAACGCGATACGAAGACAGCGATACTGGATCCGTTCCAGTTTGATGATGTGAGTTTTAGCCGCCGACTGGAAACAAAAACTACCGTATTCTAAAACCGATAAAATCGTTGTCCGGTACAACGTTAGAAGATCTTGCGGATGGGCTCCCCACCACGTTCCGGTAATTGTTCGGAGAAAATTGATCCTTTGTTGGCATTTCCGCTTCAGATACTCAATGTGGGATCTCCAGGTGCATTTTGAATCAAACCAGACCCCAAGATATTTGAAGGACATAGAATGAGTGATCGGTTTACCCAAAAGTTGAAGCTTTGGTTGTGCTGGGCTATGCTTCCTAGAAAAAACGACCAACTCAGTTTTCTCCGTGGAGAATTCGATACCTAGCTGGATAGCCCAAGTAGACAAATTGTCTAAGGTATCCTGTAAGGGTCCTTGCAGGTCGGCTTCTCTGGGTCCTGTCATAGACACTACTCCGTCATCTGCAAGTTGTCTCAACGTGCAGTTGTCCCTTAGACAATTGTCAATTTCTCTGACGTAGAAATTATACAGAAGGGGGCTTAAACATGAGCCCTGGGGGAGGCCCATGTAGCTAAATCGTGAAGCTGTAGAGTTTCCATGAGAAAAGCTCATATGTTTCTCTGACAGCAAATTGTACAAAAAGTTATTAATTAATGGAGAAAGGCCACAAGCGTGGAGTTTGTCTGAAAGGACTTCAACCGATACTGAATCAAAAGCCCCCTTAATATCCAAGAAGACAGAAGCCATTTGCTCTTTATTAGCAAAAGCCAACTGAATTTCAGTGGAAAGCAACGCGAGACAGTCGTTCGTTCCCTTGCCCCTACGGAAACCAAATTGAGTATCTGAGAGTAGGTGGTTCAACTCAACCCATTTGTCCAGGCGAAAAAGGATCATTTTCTCCAACAATTTTCGAATACACGATAGCATCGCAATGGGACGATACGAGTTGTGATCTGACGCGGGTTTTCCAGGCTTTTTAATGGCTATAACTCTCACCCGCCTCCAATCATCCGGAACAATATTAAGCTCCAGGAACTGACCAAACAAGTTCAACATGCGCCTCTTAGCGACGTCTGGGAGGTTCTTCAACAAGTTGAACTTGATTCTATCAGCCCCCGGAGCCGAATTGCCACACGAAAGGAGCGCGAGTGAGAGCTCCAGCATTGAAAAAGGCTGGCTGATCTCGTCTACCGAATTCGTCGTTTCGCGAGGAATCATCTGTGCCGGCACAGAATCAGGACATACTTTTCGCGCGAACTTGAGGATCCAACTATCGGAGTACTCCTCGCTCTCGTTGTTTGAAGACCGGTTACGCATCCTTCGCGCCGCATTCCAAAGCGTATTCATCGACGTTTCGCGCGATAATCCGTCCACGAATTGCCGCCAGTATCCGCGTTTCTTGGCTTTGATGAGGCTCTTGAGTTCGCGTTCAAGAGCCGAGTACGCTTCGAAATGTACGGGTGTTCCACGTTTCCGGAAAAGCTTAAACGCGTCGGACTTTTTACGATAAACCTCAGTGCATTGCTGGTCCCACCAAGGGGAAGGAGGTTTCCTACGCAAAGACGTTCCAGGAACCGGCCGAGTTTGAGCTTGAAGCGCGCTGTCCAAGATCAGATTGGAGAGGAAGTTATATTCCTCCAACGGTGGAAGCCCTTCTACCGACGTTAGGGCATCTTCTATCACATTCTTGAACTTTGTCCAATCGATATTACGGGTAAGATCGTACGCGACGTTAACGGGTTCCGACGGATTGAACCCACTGGCAACTGAAACTTTGATCGGCAAGTGATCACTACCGTGGGGATCTTGGATCACATTCCACGTGCAATCCAACGATAATGAGTTAGAGCAAAGTGTGAGGTCTAATCTACTTCCATTCGAGGATGGGCCAGCCAAACGTGTTACTTCTCCATTGTTAAGAATTGTCATATTAAAGCTGTCGCAGAGGTCATATATCAAAGTAGAACGGTTGTCATCATACAGTTCCCCCCAGCCTGTACCGTGGGAATTCAAATCTCCCATAATCAACCGTGGAGCAGGAAGTACCGAACAGATATCTGAAAGTTGTTTGCGATTAACAACGGCTCTAGGAGGAATATAAACAGAAGCAATACAAAGGCTCTTACCTTTAATAATAGCCTGACATGCAACAACTTCAATACCTGGAAATTGTGGAAGATTCACTCTATAGAAGGAATGGCACTTTTTGATCCCCAAAAGTACCCCTCCTCCACGCGAATCCTCACGATCCAGTCGAATAATGTTAAAATCATAAAAAGGAAGATCGATATCTGAAGAGAGCCAAGTTTCACAAACAGCAAATGCATCACAATCATTATTGTGAATTAAAAACTTAAAAGAATCTAATTTAGGAATGAGACTTCGACAATTCCACTGTAGAACAGTGATCAAATCCCCGACCTCGTTTGGAAAATTATCCATCGAAGGAAATGATTGCTGCAATGAGGGGCCACTTCAATGTCAATTGCTTCAAGAGGGTCTTCACAGAAGGAAGCATTGCCAGAACAATGCTTTTGAGAGGATCAGAAATATTGAGGTACTTGAGAATATCGTCCACAATTTTATCAAATGAGAACAACCCGGATGAAGAAGGGGCTTCTGTTCTTAAAAATGGGCCATCAGGGGTTTTTGATGTCCCCGGGAGAGATGGAAAGTTCTGGTTATAGTCAGTTCCGCGGAAACCAGGAGGAGTTGAAACTTCCTTTTTTCCATCACTCCTTGATTTGGGCAAGCTGATTTGGGGTTCCTTATCTGCAACTTTCCGCGAACGGATGCGTTTTCGTTTCCGTGCAGAACCTTCCGGAAAACTGAAAGAAACTCCCTCCTCAGCCAAGTCAGAGTCAGACTCGTCATCAGACAAAACAGCAAAGGGATTTTTGTCGTTGGTTGATGGTGTGGCTGTTTTTAGCATTGCTGCAAAAGACTGCCTGGAACGCTCCTTAAGAGAGCGTTCTAGTTTCTCCCCGCGTTGTTTGTACGCCGGGCACGATGAGAGACCATGAGGAGTTCCCTTACAGTACACGCATTTTGGTGCAGTGACTGTGCAGGCGCCATCCTCGTGCTTCTCCCCGCATTTGGAACAGCGTGCCTTGCTGCCACAGTGAGAGGCCGTATGTCCCAACTGTTTGCAATTTTGGCAGTTCATGACCCGAGGAACAAACAAACGCACAGGTAGCCGAAGTTTTCCCAACTCGATGTAGTGAGGAAGGGCTGAACCAGAAAAGGTCACCCGAAACGAGTCTGTGGGGGTAAAGCTCTTTTTACCCTCGCTGAAAGATACTGAGTTCAGCTTCTGGACTTCCAGTATCTCAACCGTGGGAAGCAAGGGGTTCTTGAAACGGCCAACCGCTTGCTTCGCCAAGATCTCGGGGGTCAGACTCGCTTCGGTGACCACACCTTCGATCTCCACATTACGAGCTGGGATGTACACTCTATACTCGAGTGTAAAGAGCTGGGAGGCAGCAATCTCGTTAGCTTGTTTCAGGTTAGAGACGACAACGCGAAGTTTATTGTACCTCACCTTCGAGATTTCGGTCACGGCCGAGAACCGCTTCGTCAGATCATTAGTAATTTGCATTACATTCAAAGGTTTCTTTTTGGGCTGAAAGTAAACAACCCATGGGCCAGTCGAGTCTTCTGGGTAGGCTCGCGATCGGGGGCTTATCTGTCCCTGTCCATTACCAGACTGAGATGACGAAGCAGGGATGGCATCATCTGATTTCTGGAATGACAGACGTTTTCGACCCTTCTTGCTATCGCGTGGCAAAGTGGTGTCATCTTCCGACAAAACGTCCATTTCGTCTTCCGACAAAATGTCCATTTTGCCGTACTAGTGGGAGCGAAAACCGCTCTACCACTGCAACGATAATCAAAATTACTCGGACACAATACACGAGAAAAAAAATACAAACACAGAAACACAAACTTAAAATTTAACTGATGGGGGAAAGAAAGAAACAAGAACAAAAACTTATCTGATAATCCTATACTACTACCACCGAGCGTTTACACAGCAGCAGTGGAGCGACGCGCAGCTTTGATGATCTTCGATCCGCGTGTGCGGGCGGTCTTCGTTGGTGTGTGCTTGTATGAAGCTCGGCACTCAGCTGAACACACGAGATGGATGAGCGGTTTGAATGTGGAGGCAGATGCTGACACTCGATGACGATGATCCGTGTGCACAGGTATGCGTGACCACGCACCGATGGTGCGCAAAATGGTTGGCGAATTGGCAATCGCAAAAACAATTTTCCTTCCGATGATGCCGAAAACACACTTTCTTCTCAGAAAAAAACTCACTTTTTGATAAATTTATCGGGAATTATGCCAAGAATCACTAAGCGAGAAAAAACTGATTATTTACGTCAGATAATAGCGAGAAAACTTCCAAATTAACGGAGCGCGAAACAAGTCGACCGTTCTTCTTGCTAGGACGCAGTGAGATCTCTGCTGAAAAATTGTCAGCAATTGATTTCTTTCAAAATGTATGTATGTGCCCAATATTAGGGACCGTTAGGTGGACATTAACCCTACGTGCCGTATATTCCTATTAAAGCTCCATGACATCGGTGCCGTCATCATCCATGGCGCAATAATCGAAAATTCGCCCATTATCTTATCGATAAAAAATAAAAGTGCAATCACCTCGCGCTTTGTTTCATATGCAGTTGCAGTTGCTGTAGCAGATATTAATTTGTTTCTGTTACATGCGCTCGTGGAATCCCAAGAGCAATGAACCGTAGTGGTAATCGTGAAGAAGTCGATATCCCGTTACAGAATCGTTCCACAAACCGGAGCGAACCTAGCGAAGGCGATGGCAACGTGGAAAACTTCATCCAGAAGTTCGATGTTCACAGCTACACCGGATTGATCACCATATTGGCCGTCAACCTGCAACAGCTGTATCTGCTGATTACCGTTGGTTCGGACCTAGGTGCCATGTTCTACTTGCTTATTAGCTTGACTTCGATCTCTGCTATTCTGGTGGTATGTTTAATCACCATTGTATTTTTTTTATGAATCTGATTTGATTAATTCATTTTTCCATCGCTCAGATTGTGCTCCTGCCTATTCGTTATATTGTTGAAAGAGGTAAAACAAGGAACATTATCTACTACACAAGTCTGGTGCTAAACGTCCTCATACTGGTGCTTAATCTAACGCTCCAAATTTTCGATCAAACAATGGAAAAATGCCAAGTACTTCTGAACCAACCCTTGCCGCTGTCGGTCAGTGATAGAATTCCTAAAAAGTGAAAACCAGAAATTGTGTTACAAGTAATGAATAGGTAGATATTTATTAAATATTTTAAAAGAATTTCTTCAGATTTTGGTGTGTGTTAAAAGAGCCGTTTAAAGATACATAAATTTAACTTAAAACTTGAATAAAATTGTTGTCTGATGATTAGAACCGACTGGCACAAATCTGCGCTCAAAATACGCTCGAGCTGTTTAGAATTTTTATTTTTCGTGCTTTTTGCATCTTGCAAGCATTAACTTGTGATGCGAACCTCAATGATTTAACCGTTTCGTTAAAACAGTCTTGGAACGGTGAAACATTGACGAACATCAGAGTTTTGGAGTTTCCACCAAGACTAGGCATAAGTAGATGCGTGAGCTTTGAGTTTCGATACGGGATGTGCTCGTTCTTCTGAACCAATGCCAGGATAACGTTGCTCAGTTCACTGAGCGATCGGTTGATGTTCTTCGTTTCGTCCATCCGCATGCTTGTTTTCGGGCTCTCCGATCCGGCCAAATCGACTAAATTGATGGAACCGACACTGAGTTCTGTCTTTTCCTTATGTGTTCCAATTAGTTGAATCTTGGTGACTGCATGTGACCGCGAAGAACGCTCGTTTCCTACCGTACAGGCCGTAGCACGATTTGACTTGGCAATATCCATCAACTGGCGCAAATGGTTCTTGGATTGTACCGTTTCTTCGATGATATTTGAAACGTAGACATCGGTTTTGTTCTTGGCATTAGCCATGCGGATCTCCAACTCTTTAGTGGTGCCGGAAGAGTCCAGCAAATCGTACAGGACTTCGTTGTAGATTTCCAAAAAGTTTACACGAATCTGTGAAAAATAGAACGAAGCATAAGATCAATTTGAAAAAAATCAAACTTTAGTCCTCCAATCAAATCCACCTACCTCGTACTCCCATCCAAGCCGCTTGTAGTCGTCGACAGCGTTGAAAATCAAGTCCACCGTCCGTGGTATAACTCCGAGATGATTGGTCACGCCATCCATCGTGTAGGTTTTACCGCTTCCTGTTTGCCCGTAAGCAAAAATGCATACATTGTATCCATCTAAAGCCGACTGAATTAGAGGAGCCACATTCTCAAAGATATCTTCCTGCATCGTTCGCGAATGGAACACGTGGTCAAAAGTAAACTCCTGTCTCTTGTTGCTTCCATCCATGGCGCAAATTTCCAACGACTGCTCGTCCAAATACTTCCAACCACACTCCAGAAGATCCGCTTCGGAAGCCAATGGAGGCCGTACACGACAGAAAACCCGAATATTGCCCCGCAAATCCATGATAGTGTTGTGCAAATCTTTCCGCTCGATATTAGCCCGGAACAGAATTTCGGCCTTTTTGTCATTATCTTCCTGTAAGATGGCATTTCTCTCTTCCACAGTGGCGAATCGTTCTTGTAGGGTTTTAACCAGTTCTCTAAGCTGCATTCGTTCGTTATCTGCCTCGTTGTACCGTTCCTTGAGCAAACGCAACTCTGATTCCGTTTCATTTAGGCTTGTCGAAAGGGAAACATTCTTCAATCTAAGATTATCATTCTCAGCAACTGCTGAAATGTGATCTTCCTGAAGTTTTGCGTGTGCTTGCTTCAATCTGCCCAATTCTTTGAGACAATCGTCATATTTTTGCGGCAACGATTCTAAATCGGAGTTAACTTGACGAAGGTTGTCCAATTTCTCCTTGACAACCTGATGCTTCTCCAGTAGGTCATTGAACCGGGCCTTGTAGTCGTACGGCGGGATACGTTTGCTAATGATTTTTTTCGCCGCTCCGCTGGATGTGTTGGATTTTTCACTGGACACACTGGAATTCACGGAAGCTTGCTTGCTAGGCACTACTTTCGGTTTGGACGCGGTAAGAGTTTTTTTTGCAGTAGCAGTAGCCGCAGTCGACGTAACGGATTTCGTACCAAACATTTTTCCCGTAGCACTAGTACTCGCAGTCACCTTGTTGGCCTTCAAAGGCAATCCGTTGTTGACAGAGGACAGCTGTCGTTTCAGTTGATGTGAACTCGACGAAACAGACGAAAAACTAGCGGGAACCTTCATGGTGATGTCACTGACGGATACACTTCTTCGTAGATTCGTAGATTTTTGAACCGGTTTCACTAGGTTATTTTGAAGCATTTGAGCTAAACCTGCCGAATTTAGATGACTTTTCGCCGAAGAAATGGATTCGAGATTAGGTACAAACTTCGGACGATGAAAGTTTGGCCTGCTGAGATCGGTTGCCGAGCGACTACGGCGTAACTTGCCTCGATTCAGCACTGCAAGGTTCACAAGCTCCGGGGAAGCTACTCGTTTGCCGTGGAAATCAAGTTCCGAGGGAACATTTAACAAATCGACTAGGGGATGGCGGGCGTTTCCCGGTAGGCTCGCCATTCCCGTTGGTTTTTTAATAAAGTTGAGTTTAGGTATTTTGGACTCCATCACTGTGTGTACTGGTAGGAAGGCTGTAAAAGATATTTTCATACAATGTACACCAATCCCAAAAAGATATTCCACTTCTACTTACTGCAGCCTGCACTATCCTGAATGTTTTTAGATGATTACACTTTTAATTAGCACACTTTATTGTTTTAAAATGTTTTATATCTTCTGCGTGCGGCTGACCGTTTTCTTTTGCACTACAAGCGTCGCGAAAATCAAATTTCGCTCTGTGGTCACTCATCGAAGAGCAACCGTCAAAAACATGACGACCAGTGCTTCCCGTGGCGAACACAGAAAACACTAGAGGCACTCACTTTTTTGGCTTTTTTGTTATCACGGTAAGAAAACGATACCCAAAAGTAAGTTCTTTTCACTCACTATACACGGTAACCAGCGTAAACACATAAATGAGTAAAAAATACACATTTTTTATATTTATATGCAGCTGTCAAACAATGTGTAAACATACACATTTTAAGAATTTAGTACCAGTCAGAAAATGTGTATTTTTATACTCATTAATGGGTAAAAAAAACTTCAAACTTTGCTGCATCCTGCTTTGTTGATGCACGCCATTTGATAAATTTTCAGTGAAGAAAAGCTTAGGAAAATGGAGGAACTACGGTCCAAACTGGATACCCGCATACACGCAAACCATCACTTGACCTTACCGATAATGGTTATAAATTGTTTATAATCCCTCCTAAACTTTAACTGAAATGGTTTTGGAACCTTACATGAACGTTTGTGTGATAAAGTTTTAACCTTATGTATTATGGTTTTTAGGAAGCGGACCTTACAAATAATGGGTCGTTAAGAACCATTACCATTCCAAATTCTTGTTTTCTCCATACATTTTCGGAAAGAGAACTATATTAGAACGTTTTTACTTATGGTTTGAGAACATTAATGATTATGGTTATGGTAGTCAGTAAGGTCCATTAATCGTTTTGTATTATCGCTCAACTTTACGTGGAATAAATCGCGAACTGATAATTATTAATTTACAGGCAACCAATTCGCGATATATTCCACATAAAGTTGATCGATGTTACAAAACCATTCATGGGCCTTACTGACTACCATAACCATAACCATTAATGTTCTCAAACCATAAGTAAAAACGTTCTAATATAGCTCTCGTTCCGAAAGTGTATGGAGAAAACAAGAATTTGATATGGTAATGGTTCTTAACAACCCATTATTTGTAAGGTCCGCTTCCTAAAAACAATAATACATAAGGTTAAAACTTTATCACACAAACGTTCATGTAAGGTCCCAAAACCATTTCAGTTAAAGTTAAGGAGGGATTATAAACAATTTATAACCATTATCGGTAAGGTCAATTTATGGTTCGCGTTTATGCGGGTAGTGCGCAACGATGGACGATGCTTGCTTGCTTCATATACTGATTTTTGTTTTTCTTCCCTTGATTTGTTTTTTGTGCTGAGCACCAATGCTACCGACGCTAGGGAGGCAGCTCCCATACCTGGACCCTACCAATCGACCCATCAGCTCATGAACCGGGGACCAATGGCTTCACTTCCCTTCCGAAGGAAGGCGTGATCCTCGGCGCGATCAAAGATGTTATGCACCAGAACATCCCGGCAGCGTCGACTGACATTTAAGTTCTAGAAATGATTACTTTTTACACATTTTGCTGTAAAAACCGTTCTTGAAAAATGTGTAAAAAATACACATCTATTGACGTTTGCTGGGTTTACACATAAATGTGTAAACGCAGTTTACACATTTTATGAGTAGGCCCCTTTTTTCACGAAATGTGTGAAATTTTACACATTAATGTGTTTATGCTGGTAACCGTGTAGAGACTAGTGACGTTTAACGCACGCACACTAGCGGAAGCAACGCCGTGTAAAGTTGTTTATTATTTTCCTCTGGCTAATCTAAAAAATGTATGAAAGTGGACCTGTCAAAATGAGTTTGACATCAGTTTGTTATGTATTTTCCTCGGATATTCACTAACACGCTCTCACATATCGCACCAATACAACCGGACGTGAACATCTCAATAGCACCGACAAAACTGTGCAGGAACCAGGGGGAACGACACTTCAAGATTATCCCATTTTTACCCAAACCTCTCATATAATTTTCAACGTGTACAAAATTTCAATCCATCCTATCTATTCTTTCTATTCCCAACTTATCCCTTCTGCATGCACACAAATTGTCAAGCAAGCCGTGCAGTTTCTCGAAGTTTTCAGGTCGACCGCGAAGCACTCTGCCATACTCACTGTCAGTTTACAACACTCTCCACAACAAACACCACGTATGTCAGCTGACCATGCCGGTAAAAAATCGGTGCGAAAACTAAAAAAAGATGACGGACCATTCGTCTATAATCGGTCTTGGGGGCAAAAAACATCAAGTGCATCACGGAGGAGACGGCAACGCACATCCATTTCCCGGACTCAAACCGATCGAATTCGACGGATAAGAGCCCGGGTCCTCTGTGTGTTGTAGCATGGAAGTTACCGAACAGGCGCGAAGCAACTGTTGATTTCGTTCGAACTGCTGATTCTAGCCCCGGGAAAAGCCTTACCAATGAAACCCCCTACGACAAGCAGGTGGAAAAGGAATTCAGGTCGTTTTTTCCACTCGGCCCAAGTTTTACTCGTCTCTGCTGCTGGTCAAGGGTTCGGATAAGAAAGAGCTAATGGTGAAGTAAGACACCCACCGGGTAATGTATTTCTGTGCGAGAATATTGCGGATCAAATTCCCGTCCAAATACAGCTGGGAATATTAACTGGAACCTTGTAATCCATCGCCATCACCCGTTCATCCTACTGTGCAGTTTCGACCTTTTCGGTGCGGAACCGTTTTCTGCACTTAAGCTGTGAGCTTTGATTATTATAGTTGGGCGGTGTCCCGAGCGGTGTCCATTAATTCCGCTTCGCTAAAAATCAATATGTTTGACCCCCCCCCCTTTGGAACAAAACGGTACACTGAAAATGACCCCCCTCTATTTATTACGCAACGCTCTATAAACCCCCCTCCCCCGCCTTTTCATTTAATTAATGTTTGATTTCGTTTTGTATTTTTTTATTTTTAGGTAATTCTCGATGAACATTTCAAATGGTCCTATCTGCTTTGATCGATTCTCTTCATCGACTTTCTCTTTCGTCAATAACTCAGCTGCAAAACCTTTCCCTCTTGTATTTGACGTTTTAGACGCTAGAAAAGAACCTCCTTTATCAAACTAGATGGTAGAATTAGCGCGAAATCTGTTTGCATAGCAGTGGTTATGAAAAGAGAAAGTCGATGAAGAGAATCAATCAAAGCAGATAGGACCATTTGAAATGTTCATCGAGAATTAATTATATTATTAATATTCAAAACAAAAACAAAAGATCAGCGTACCATCGAGTACCTCCTTTTCAAAAGTTCAAGATAGCAAAAATATCAATTTATAAAATTAAAACAGATCCATTTTGTAAAGCAAGATTTAGTGATGATAGCCTTCGTTGTCGTTGCCAAAAACGTCAAAAAAGACCTGTATTTTCAAACTTTACATCAAGAAACGAAAAAAAAAACAAAGTGTTCTCTGTTTTACGCAACGCAAAGCTTTACTACTCCCGAGACTACTCCTCTCCTATGTATATTTCGTAACGATATAGGTGACCCTCTCTCCCCCTATAAGCGTTACGTAATTCATGGACGCTTCATTGCAGCAAATTTTTCTTCTTTTTACACCTATCCTCTTCGCGTTCAGACTCGTATCCCTCTGAAATTTTTTAACATCCCTCACATCACATCAATTGCCTGATCTATTCCCATCTATTTTTTCTATCCCTGCTCTATTTTCGTCAACACGACACACTCAAAAAAATCCCATCAATTATGTTTTTCCCCGAAAATCCCAAGTAATTACTAGACTGAAAAAATACATCCAAATGAGTGTCGTTCCCCCTGAATTGCACTTTAATCTTGACTTTATTATTGAACTTCACATACCATTCTGACCAGGGCTTTCCTTATACGAAAAACACAAATTTGACAGCAGATAATGCGATGACCCTCTCATCTCCGCTTTTAACATCAATTAATTCACAACTCTGGCTAGTTATGTAAATAAACCAACCATCCGACAATTCCTCAATGTTTTTCGAGCTGCCGACGTATCTTCACTGCAAAGCAAAAACCGGTGTATCTGATTTGACGTATGTGAAAACCCTTCTGTCAAATTGACGAATCATGCAGGGTGTATGTAACAATCATGGTGTGATACCGACAAATCAATCAGGGTGTATGTGAGTAGTACACAAGTAAAAGGTGTATGATTTTGTTTTATCAAAAGTCTTGTCCGTGTTTGCAAAACTCAACATTTTTCACAATACTCTTAAACGCAATCCCTTTATCCAACTAATAGCACAAACAGATTTAAAAAAATAGCATTAAATTTTAAATAGGATTTAATAATCTCATATAGACATTGCTATCCAATGTTTCTAATTTCATATCAAATGATAATCTGTCGAAATTCAACTTCGGTTTTCTCAAATGGTGGATATGTTACATTGGTCTATTTGAAAAGTGACGCAACAAATCAGCGAGTCCGACATGCATTTTGACGTTTCTGGCCAGAAATGAAACTCTTTCAGTCGTCTTTCCTCGTTCGCGTGTGAAAGAAAGAATTTTCGTCACAATAAATTCCACGATTATCACCAGTAGCAGAAATAGCAGGAAGCAATCCTTATTGTCTTCCGGAAGATAAGGTTCCGAACTTCCTGAGGGAATGATTAGTGACCAGAAGGAAGCTTACTAAGCCACGCTTTTGTCGCGATAACAATACTCAGACCCGTGCGTGATCCCGTAATCGTTCCAGCTGGCACTAGTTGCAAGATTGCCTGTTCTTTCTTCCGTAAACATTTTCGGATTCGTTTTGGAATAACTTCAGAATCAGTTGAAATTGGAACCACACTCGACAGCACCGTTGGCACGGTGGCATCGTTTTACTTTTAGTTTTTTTCTATTTTTATTTTCTTTTTTGAGTTGCTATTTTAATTTCTGCCAAAATTGACGAGGAAACGCTGGACTATTCCATTGTCTTCGAAGCGATGGCTGACAGACTAACCCAGCTTCAGGACACGGTAAATCAGGTAGGTAGTGCGTTGCTAATGAATATAGGAACTAGTCTTCTGTAGGGAAGCACTAAATTGTTTTCTTGATTTGCTAGCAAGCGGAACACTTCTGTAACAGCATCGGCATACTGCAACAGTGCTCGGTTCCGAGCAAGTTCCCCGGCTTCGAACGAACTGGATCACATACACCTCAGCAAAACCAGCAGGAAGACTACGCGCAACTATTTTCCACCTTGATCTCAAGATGTGCCAAGGACATCGACACGCTTATCGAATCTCTGCCCAGCGAGGAAAGCTCAATCGAACTGCAAGTGCAAGCGCTGAAAAGGCTCGAGATCGAAAACCAAGAATCCGCTGAAAAACTCGAGGAAGTTGTGCGGAAAGGTGAACTATTGCTGGAGAAGATACAGGCTGCCCTGAGCGATATCGCACAGTCCCAGCTTGATATGCAGTATTCGTCGTCGCCTAAAAAGCAATGACTGACAGCCAAAACAATTCCCAACAGCGCGAGGACGGACCCAATCGTTCGTTCAGCTGCAGCTGCTGGTACCGGTACACTCAATGAGGGAGGTTGCGCCGCGCAGGAAAACGACAAAATGTGTTAGTTATGTTCAGTTTTTTTTTTTTGTTTTGTATCATTATGTTTCGTATGTATCAATTGAACACTAGTGATAATATTTACAATTAAAATAACTACAGCTTAACGATAAGTTAATAATAAAACATATATCGATCAAAATGCTACATGTTTTGAAGTTGAATATGGTTGTATTTTATCAAATTACTCAGATAAGTTGAAGGTCGGAAGTTCCCGGACATGTATTTCAGAATTTATCAGAGACCTCATGTGCTGCCGATGACAGAGATCTTGGCTAGTATGCACAATAAAAAGGCATGTTTCGCGCCACGAGTAAGGAGTCACCTCGACTCTATGTCACTAGTGACAAAGTTCAGACTGTCAGACATTAATCTCAAGATGTACCCTATCACTAGTGACGAGTCACCTCACCTCACTCGCGGCGCAGAATAGTCCTCTAAGTAAAAGTATGGTCGTCTGTCAATAGTTGTTCTAATCAAACCGTCAAAATGCACTGCTTTGCTCGATTGGAACAACTTTTTTCAGTTGTGTGGTCACAGTCGTCCATCCTTTTACTAGAATCCTTTACTCAAGCCTCAAAAATGCACTGAACCAACGAGAAACGTAAATTTTCCCAGGTAACTTCTCAAATATAGTAATACAGTAAGAATTACTTGCTGCACATTATATTCAATCAAATGGAGGTTAGAAAAATAAATGTGTGTGTATCAATATTTGATGATGCAAATACCGAGGCAAATACACCTATAGTTAATTTCCAGTTTCCATTATTTTATACAGAAAATACAAATCATAAACTCGTTTCACAACAACAAAGACCTGAAAATGAAAATCTACAATAAATTTGTGGACGAAATTATTTACCTATCTATAATTGAACAACATTGCATGGGATGTTCTGAGGCATAACATCTCTGATCCCGGTTCATGAGTTGATGGGTCGATAGGTAGGGTCCAGATGTGGAAGCTGCCTTTCTTGCGTCGGTAGCATTGGTGCTCATGCTCAGCTCGGAAAACAAAATCGACGGAAAACAAATCCAGGGAAAAAAACAACATGAAATCTACTACTTGAATATTACTATAACGGTTACAATAGTTTTTTTTTTCAAGACTTGACCCATTTGAATAAATTTTGCTTCTATCTTTGACAATACAGCAGAAGGACTAGCCTATGTTGGCCGCTTGAACACTGGATTCCGTATGTATTGTTTCAAGATAGTTATAGAAAAAATGCTGTGACGTGTGCGCGTAGATACATCCGCGTAGTAAACCGATTGAATAAGTAAATCCGTTTCGAACGAAATATCTAAATTATGTAAGTTACGAAAACCGCGCGAATTCAGAAAGCCGTGCGAGACAACCGAAGTGAGAAAAAAGGCTTATTATCATTTAAAGAGTGCCACCAAAATAAATGTGATAGCTTATGTTGGCAAGTTGATTAATTTTGGTTTCCTCCCTAGAATTTCTACTTATTTACCACTGAGCTTTGTATCAAATTAGTTAATTTAAAGAACGTATCAATCATTTCAAGATTTCGCGACCGCACCGAACAAATTCTATACTACATAAGCTCAAAAGCGTTTGACAAGCTCTACCGAATTGCGTATCACTTCTGCGTAAGATCCGTAAACGTAGGCGCGTTGAATCCGACAGCCGCGAAAAATTAAACGTGCATCGATGCGTCAATACCACATAAGGAAAGATCGATTTTACAGTCACGTAGGGTTTAGTTCATAGATTAACATTGACTGCTGTTTACAAATGTAAGTACTTGAACACTAAGAAATAAGTTAACTCAAATGCTTTAATCGCATATATAAGAGATTTCGCGTATTGAGAGAATAATATAGTAATCGAGTACAACAAACTCAGGGGAATACAATACCTCCAAAAGTTTAAAAGCTATTAATTGTCACATACCTCTACTTTTACTTATTTCCTAAACTATTCCTCTCCTTGTTAATCTGTTTAGTCGTCTCCTTGTTAATTTTAAAGTTCAAGACTAAATAAGAAGATTTATTCTACAACTTTAAAGGTTAGTTGCCTCCCTATGCAGACCCCCCAGTTGCCTCCCTATGCAGACCCCCCGCATCCTAATTCTTTTGTTAATCTACAATGTCATTAGACTTTCTGAAGTTTCTTATTTAAGTTCATTTGATGATTATGATATCTCATTAGTCTAATTTAATCAATTACTTAAATCTCTAATTCACCTAATCAATCATAAACCATGCTTTATTAATTATTATCTGCACTTGTGCTTGTAATCTAAAATTGAACGTGTTTCAAGTACTTTTGATTTGGACCTATACCTATTTATTATATCTTAGTTCGACCCAGGTAACACCTTCATGTGACTAAAATGCTTCATTTTGAAGTTAGTTTCCTAGCTGATTTTTAAATTATATAGGGTATATGCTCCAACTATGCTCACACGCTTCCACTATGTCGCACCACAAAAATACGTATGGGTATGTCACAATAGAAGCACGCCACAGTGGAAATCCCGAGCCATAGTTCAAACACTTATCCCAAATCAAATTGAAGCACATATAAGATTAGTTACAATACCATGTACAAAAATGATGTTTAACATTGTTTCCTGAGTAATACTTCAATAAAAACAACAATGAAAGCTTGTCACGCAAATAGAAGGAGCACCGTTGGGCACTTTCTGAAATATTTCAATATAATTTCTAATAAATCAAATAAATCTATCTGCATAAAAATAAATAAAATAAGAATGATTTGCGGCAAAACCCGCCAGTATCACACCCAACGTCAGTGCCTATACGTAAGCGTACTACGACGCGGCTCTCAATTAAAGGAGTAACAAGTGTGATACTATCACTGCTAGACTAGATCTTTGGTTCTCTCATGCAGTGGTTTATCAGAGAGGGGAAGCTTAGTAATCCCCATTGCCTGCCTATGACGCCATTCTATCGCGGCATGAGCCAGCAACGCCGACCATAAAGGTGTATTTAGATCTGAGCGTACATTAGCGGAGCGGAGCAAAATTTGCGTTGGAATGAGAGAAACAACTAGTACTTTTCTCCCTCTCGTACTCTCGCAAAACCTCTCTCCGCACGTGAAACATCGCTCAGATCTGAATACACCTTAAACCTATCGTCTCCAACACTCCACTATAAAGCATGAAATTAAGCCCGCCCACCAACAGCAAGGTGCAAAAACTAGCCAAGGGGAGGGACTATAACAGTTACAATAGTTACACACTTAATCACGGCTGCCCTGTTCGGTAATTTTTTTTTGACAGTTTTAGAACTGTAAATCACAAAAAAAAAAATACCGAACAGCTTTGCGACAAACTACTGAATACGGTAATTGCAAGTACTGAATTTTTCCGTAAAATTACAGATTTACGGTGAATGACTAAAACTCAGTAAAATAGAGTACCGAGTTTTCAGGATTCATTATGCTTTACGTAGTCATCAAACGAAATTCCAAAATTGCTGATCTCACCAGTAAGACAACTTGCTTGCGTCATCCTCCTCCGTTTCGTATGAGACAGTGGAAGAGTTGCCAGTCTTCTTGATTTGTTGTCTTCGACCATATGGTAATCCTTCTTGGCCATCGACTTGGAAAATTCCTCTTCGATCCTTCGGATTCTTATAGTAATCTGCTTGGAAATCGATTCGGAGTAACGTTTTACTGCCGCCATGGCGCATAAACGCAAAAGAAAAGGACAATCTCTTGATCATCCTTCTGATGAAATTAATTTGAGCAATTCATTTGATATGTTCACGTATAATGAGAATGATCCATCATCCAGGCAAAATACTAAAAAAAAACGCAAAAAATACTCCGTATAATCGAGTCTAAAATTCCGGATAATCGAGTCTCCGGATAATCGAGTCCGACCTGTGCTATAAGGGCAAGCATTATCATTTTTCCCGGCATTCGATTGGCGGACGGCGAGGAGAGCACATCTCCCTAAAAGCAGCAGCAGTGCCCCACCCGGGTTCATTCAATCGGTAGGCAGCAACCGCTATAGCCAGCTGAGGGTTTCTCTGAGTTTACCTCACTGCGGCTTTAAGCGATCTGCAATCCCCATCCAGCGAACTCCCAGTATACCCGGACGGTGTCATATTCCGTGGCGGATCTGCTCGACGGACGGTGAGGAAAGCAGCTTCTTCTTTTTCGCATTTTTAAGCTTATTGCTAAGCGCATATTAGCTTATTGCGTGCTCTCAACTTAGTGTTCTAAATGCACTTCCACAGTTATTAATTGAGAGCTTTCGATGCCAATACCAATGCATGAATTTGTATATTGTGTGGCAAGCACAATGATTCTCTATGCCCAGGGAAGTCGAGAAAATTTCCAACCCGAAAGATTCCCTCGACCGGACCGGGAATCGAAACCGCCGCCTCCGGCTTGGTAATACCGTGCCTTTGCTGACTAGGCTATTAGGCCCCTGAGGAAAACAGCAGCCGTGCCCATATTCCGTGGCCGACGAACAGTGAGCAATACGCTTCGGCCAGCTGAGGGTTTCCTTGAGTTTACCTCCTGGCCCCAAAGCAATTTGCAATCACAACCCAGTGGTCATCCGGACAGTACTGGACAGCGGGACACCCAGTAAGGCTCCCTCGGACTTGAGACATCCCACACCTGACACCATGGAGCACCACCATTTTGTGAAGGCACCCGACATGCCCGCCGAAAATCACGACATTTACTGAGAAGCAGCATAATTTTTTATACTTACGACACCACTGAACTGAAGGTGTTCAAGGTTGTCATGAAAAGACTGCCCCTTTAAACCCCTGGATCAGATCAAAGATGAATTGAGAAAATTACTTGAGCTTGTCCAAGTAATCAAAATGAAAATGATATCCCGTCCCGCGATTCACGCAATGGGATTTCTAATGATTTGATATTTAGTTCACTTCAAGTCTAGTGAACTAAACAACCTTAAGCCTTAGAAAAAGCTACCCTTATGCTCTATGTCCGAGTGAAGTGGGAACACTTCAGGAAGACTGGAGGAAATTTCCAAAACCTCACCCAGTGCCGAAAATGCCAGGAATGGGGTCATGGAAGAAAAAGTTGCTACATGCCAGCTAAATGCATAAATTGTGGTGATTCCTCTCACACAAAGGGCGACTGTCCTGTGAAGGAAGATCCTA